TACTTATTTAACAATTGCTGAGAACAAGCGCGCGGAACTTGCTAAGTGAAATTTGGTGTCTAACACAATGGTGACTGATTTGGTTGAGCAGATTAGATAGTCTGTGTACAGGTGAGTTTGCACCTAACACAGTGCGTCTTAACGAAGGACAGAGAGGTGCGATGGGGTGACGAGGTAGTCTCGATGGGACACGGTAATTGAAAAGAACTAGCAACTAGAACTAGAATTCAGGGCAATTTATGTGGTTACGCAATACTTTAAAAAGAAATAAAAAAACCAAGTTTTCTTCAAGTAAAAACAATTTCAATTTTTAATAATTGCATATTGTAACGGTATTCAATTGTGAAGGTTTATGCTCAGCAGTAGACAGAACGGACGATGCCGCCGGTAACCCTTTATGATGTTCATTGTTGATACATTTCTGCAAGAACTAAACAAATGTAACTTGTTATTATGAGAGAATTATAAGAGAATTACCTAACGTTAAATCGACTAGTCCAAGCATAGAAATAAACGGAGAAAAGTTAGACCTTATTAATAAAGCAGTCTTCTTGGGAGTGACCTTAGATAGTAAACTTCAATGGTTTCCACATATATCTTCCCTGGCCAGCAGATTAAGCTCCGCGACATACGCAGTCCGCAGAATACGTGAGCTTACCGATGTTAGTGCTGCTAGACTAGTTTACTTTAGTTACTTCCATAGTATAATGTCCTACGGGATTCTCATGTGGGGTAAAGCGCCAGATATTCAAACCATATTTGTATTGCAAAAACGAGCGATTCGTTCTGTGTACCGTCTAGGCTCTCGGGTTTCTCTCAGAGAAAAGTTTAAGGAGACTGGTATCTTGACTGTGGCATCACAGTACATTTACTCAAATATTTTATATTCCCGTAAAAATATACATAATTTCAATAAGAAAGAAGATATCCACAATATTAACCTTAGAGTTAAGTCCAAACTCATGGTACCACGATTTTGTTTAACCAAGGTAAACAACTCTTTTATGGGGAACTGTATACATTTTTACAATAAGATTCCGGAGCATATATTAAGTTTATCATTTCCTAAGTTTAAAAACTATACTAAAAATATTTTGATCGAAAAATCATATTACAAAATTGAAGACTACGTGTTAGATAAAGATGTATGGGAAGACGACACGGCTCCAGAATCCACACAAATTTGATTCAAAGTGTATTCCATAGCATTTAAGTTTATTTGAAAAGAGCAATCCCTAAAGTTTCTTGCTCGTTCTTCTCAGGGAGGTCAGCGTAGTGAACGACCAGTAGCTTAAATGTGACATTTTCAAGTGTAAACTTATTTTACCTATGGAATAAATAATCTTTGACTTTGACTTTGAGACAATGAATGTCCTGATTTCCGTAACACATATCTTTGAACCTAGCTCGGAAGCTAGAACCTTACAATGAAATTATTCTGTTTACATAAAGAATTTTATTATTTGTCACTATTAACCCTA